TGGCTCTGACTTTACTCCACCGAGGCTGCCATTTTGTGCTGAGCAAGTTTCCTGCAGACCAACTGTTATTTTTTTGCCTTCATTGTATAAGCTTTATTATTGGATATATTACAGTAGTGTCCAGAGTTGAGAACGCATGCATGGATACTGCCATATATGTAGAGACAGCTTCTCTCCCCAAAACCAATGTCAAAAAAGATAAGACAAAGGAGTTCTTCTCTACTTGAGAGGAGAGGGGAGAGAAAAAATGTAAGATTGAAGTCCACAGACATGATGTGACTTGCCCAAGGTAATGTAAGAGATGCAGACCTCACAAGGCCAAGTCTAGTGACTTAATCATATGACCAGACAGGACACACTGTAAACTCCCTGTTCATGTGCATTTTTGGACATGTCTGTATAGTGTCCTTCCCAATAGTGTCCAGTCCCAGGCCTCCTGCTGGCAAAACATGCTTACAACGTGCTTCTGCTGGGCACACAAGAGGCTAGCCACTGAGGAAAGGAGGTGGTTTGGAGCAGCTCTGAGTACCCCAAGGCTGGGCTCAGGCCAGGCTCAGGGGTGGGAAATGGGAGGGACTATGAAGTTCAAGTCCACCAGGGGCCACTCTCAAGCTGTCTACTCAGCCAAATGGCTGATGTCTGGTGTTCCTGAACAGAAATTGGAGGAGCTTATTCTGTTGGCAGCAAACCCGAAATCAGAGGAAAAGCTGTATGGACATTTATCACTAACTCTAATAGCCTCCTTTTGCCATCTGACTCCGGTAGTTTCAGTCTCATACCCTTGCACTGAAACGTTTCAGATAGTTCCAGTCAAAGTCAGTGAGCTATATCAAAGGAATGTGGAGGTCTGCTCTCATGGGTCTGATTGCAGAAATGGGACTTTATCTTAAAAATCACAAGGAAAAAAATATGTGTATGTTGGAAGAAGGCTGCTCCTAGGAAAAATACAAATTTAAATTTACCTAAGTTGTAGTTACCTGCTATTCTTTTATATGCAGTCAGGTTTTTTTGTTAAATCTTACACTATTTCTATACTATACATTTGCAGCACCCAGTTTCAAATAATTAAAAGGAAAAGCCCCAAAAGTTGCTTATTAAAAAACAGGTTTAATCTGAGCTGCGTTGAGCCTTGTGGTTTATCTACACATCTCTGTGCATCTCCCAAGCCTTCTGGGTTGGATTGGGACTGGGCTGCCTGGAGACAACCATAATTACATATTACACATACATTAAAATAATGTAATGGGTTTGACTTAAAAGGACAAAAGTAAAACAATTCAGTGTTAATGGTGACACTCCAGCTTTAACTCATACTGATGGGACTCTTTCACAAGCGTAAATTAGGGACAATGTCACTTAATCTGCTGACTTCTTGAACCTGTAAGTCCAGACCTGTGTCGTAAGTAATCTTGAATATGAGCAGTCAG